ATTCCCTTTGATTTCTACTTTGACACATTGTTTGTTCAGGAGTGTGTTGTTTAGTTTCTACATATTTTTGAATTTTCAAGTTTTCCTTCTGCTATTGGTTTCTAGTTTTATATCATTGTGGTCAGAAGAGATGCTTGATGTGATCTCATTCTTAAATTTATTAAGACTTGAGTTTTGGCCTGATCTATGATCTGTCCTGGAAAATGTTCCATGTGTACTTGAGGAGAATGTGTATTCTGCTGCTGTTGGATGGAACATTCTGTATATGTTCGTTAGGTCCATTAGGTCTCTAGTGTTGTTCAAGTCCACTGTTTTGTTATGGATTTTTTTGAATGGATGATCTGGTCAGTATTGAAAGTGGGGTAGTGAAGTCACCTACTGTTACTGTATGGGTGACTATTTCTCTCTTAAGTTCTGTTAATATTTGCTTTGTATAGGTATTCTGGTGTGAGTGCATATATATATTTACAATTGTTATATATCCTCTTGATGAATTGACCTCTTTATCATTATATAATAACCTTCTTTGTCTCTTGTGACACTTTTTGATTTAAAGTCTATTTTATCTGATTTATATGTAGCCCTCCCTACTCTCTCTGATTGCCGTTTGCGTGGACTGTTTTTTTCTATCCCTTCATTTTCAGTCTGTGTGCGTCCTGAAGGCTTGAGTCACTTGTAGGCCGCATATAATTGGATATTATTTTTTATTTATCCAGCTACTCTATGTCTTTTGATGGTTGAGTATAATTCATTTACCTTCAAAGTAATTATTGATAAGAAGGATTTGCTATTGTCATATTATTATTTGTTTTCTATATATTTTGCAGTTCTTTTGTCCAATTTTTCCTCTATTTATTGTCTTACTTTGTGATTTGATGATTTTTTTTTTTTTGTGGTGGTAACTTTGATTTATTTCTCTTTGTATTTTGCCTGTTGACTACAGGTTTTTTTTTGTGATTACCACAAGGCTTACATGAAAAACATTTTTTAGTTATAAAAGTCTATTTTAAACTGATAAATTCGATCTCATACAAAAACTCTACACCTTTGCTTCACTGCCTCCATGTTTTATGCTATTGATGTCATAATTAAACATCTTTTTATATTGTGTATCCATGAATACATTATTTCAGGTATAATTATTCTTAATAATTTTGTCTTTAAACTTTTCTACTACAATTAAAAGTGATTTACATACCACCATATTACAGTATTGGAGTATTCTGAATTTGACTATATACTTACCTTTACAGTCATTTTTATACTTTCATATGTTTTCATCCTGCTAACTAGCATCTTTTCATTTCGACTTGAAGAACTCTCCTTAGCATTTTTTGTAAGACAAGTCTACTGGTGATGAACTCCTTCCGCTTTTGTTTTTATGAGAAAGTCTTATCGCCTTCATTCTGGAGGACATCTTTATTGGATATAGTATTCTTGGTTGGCAGGTTTTTTTTCTTTCAGCACTTTGAAAATATCATCCCACTATCTCCTGGCCCTCAAGGTTTCTGCTGAGTAATCTGCTTATACTCTTATGTGGGTTTCCTTATATATAATGAATCACTTTTCTCTCACTGCCTTCAAAATTCTCTCCTTGTCATTGACTTTTGATAATTTATTTGTAACATGTCTTTTGAAGACCTCCCTATGTTCAATCTGTTTAGAGTTCTTTTGGCTTTATGGATATTTCCCTCCCCGGATTTGGGAAATTTTCTGTCATTATTTCTTTAAATAAGCTTTCTGTGCTTTTCTCTTTCTCTGCTCCTTCTGGAACTCCCATAATGCATATATTGTTTCTTTTGATGGTGTCCCATAAGCGCCATAGGCTTTCCCTATTCTTTTTCTTTTTTGTTCCTCTGATTGGATAATTTCAAGTGATTGTCTTTCAGTTCCCTGTTTCTTATGCTTGACCAACTGTGCTCTTGAAGCTCTTTATATGGAAATTTTCAGTTCAGCCATTGTATTCTTCAGATCCAGAATTTCTATTTATTTTTTTAAATCATTTTTCTGTTGGTTAAACTTCATATTGTATGGCTTTTCTGATTTTGTTTATTTGTCTATCTGTGCTCTCACTGTGCTTAAGATGATTATTTTTAATTTTTTTGTCAGTTTATACATCTCCATTTCTTTGGGGTCTCCCATGGGAGCTTTGTTTTGTTCCTTTGGTGGTTTCATGTTTCTTAATTCTTTATGTTAAGTAAAGCTTTGCATTCCTGTCTTCACATTTGAAGAAGTCGCCATATTCTTCAGTGTTTACTAACTGGCGCAGGGAGAGAAAGAAGCCAATCACAAGTCAGCTGAGCTAGAGTTTTGGGAGGTCTCTCAGATCTTTTCTATGGGTGAGCTTGCTCCACTCTTTTTTTCCATCACGGTAGGGGGAAGCTTAGGACAGCATGCCTTCTCTCAAGCCCACAAAGCCAGTACAAATGTGAAGAGCTCCACATTTATTCTCCCTAAGGCAGTGCCCTGAAGTGTTCAAGACTGTGCACTTTCTCCCAGTGCAGCAGAGTCAACCCAGCTGCTGATATCCATGTGTTGTTTGCGAGACTGTGCATGCTGTTGTTGGAGGCTCATGTGCACCATCTGCTGGGGAGTGTGGTGTGCCCGCTACAGGGGGTGTGTGTGGAGTGCTGGGGGTGTTTCTTGGCTAGTTGTGGGTGTCCTCATGTGAAGTGTCCTATTGTTTCATTGATGGAGCTCTTGCTGGAGTCTGCAAGCCTATTAATATGATATGTGGCTGGTTGTTGTGATCCACATACTGATTGCTGTGAGCTCCCATCCATTTTCCCTACTCCTAGGTGTCCCCATACTATTCACCTGTGCCAATCCCCTCAGTGTTCTTGGTGGGGTGAGACAAAAGTGGGCTTCTTGGGGAGGGTCTCACAAGGCTGGGGAAACCAGGCTTTCATATCACTTTCATTTTCCCCTATTGGAGAAATCATGGGCCAATAGGTTCTCTCTTGGCATTGAGCTGTGCCACCTTGGGGGAGGGGTGATGTGGGTAAAGTGAAACTGTTCTTCTTTCTCTTTTCAATGCATCTACTCTCAGATTTCTTGCTCCACCAGAGGACTGGAACCTTTCTGCTGGATTCCTAGGCTCCCGTAAAGGTACCCTCATCCATGGTAGTTGTTAAAATAGGTGTTGCTGTGTGGGTATGCAGCTTGGAGTCTCCTATTCTGCCATCTTGCTGATGTTACTCTCTTCTTCTTTTACATTATCAGACACAGTATAGTCTTAATTGCTAATATTAACTGTAACTGTTTTCTGACATACACAGTACTTTCTTTACTATACAGTCAAGGCTGGTGTGGTAGTCAGAGGCAGTAAATTAACCCACCATCCCTGGTTGAGTTTTCTAAAGGGACACAGCCCTGACCATAAATTACACATTACATACACAAACTGACAGTCTTGGCAAGAATAAAAATAAATTAATAACTAAAAAAAAAAAATCAAAGGATTTTAGGAGAAAACACTCAGAAACAAGCAGTCAACAATTTGAAAGTTTTAGGGCCATTTGGGAATTAGAGAGCTAAGGAAAGAAAAATGAACACCCCTTAATGAACGATTAAGTAGGATGATAAAACTTAGTTCAAAGAGCATTTGAGGAACTAGGTATTTTTAAGTATTGAAAAATAAGTTGAGTGAAAGAAGCCAATCTGAAAAGGTTACATACTGTATAATTCCAGCTAAATGACATTCTGGAAAAGGTAAAACTACGGAGACAGTAGAAAGATCAGTGGTTGCCAGAGACCAAGGGAAAGATGAATAGTCAGAGCATGAAGGATTTTTAGGGCAGTGAAAAAACCCTGTATGATACCATAACAGTAGATACATGTCATTATACATTTGTCTAAACCCATAGAGTGTACAACACCAAGAGTGGACTTTAATGTAAACTATGGACTTTGAGCGATAACGATGTATCAGTGTAAGTTCAATTGTAACAAATGTACCACTCTAGTGGGAGATGTTGATAATGGGGGATGCTTTGCATATGTGGAGCAGAAGCCTTATGGGAAATCTCTGTACTTTCCCCTCATATTCTCTGTGATCCTTAACTGCTGTAAAAAATAAAATCTTAATAACAAAAGAAATTATAATAAAAGTAAGATTGCCATTTATACACCTTAGTAAATGGAAGCATATTCTGAAGAAACAAGTACTGATACTTTCTCATTATACTTATATGTATTTTCCTTTAGAAATAATTTTGATAATTGGTTTTGATTTGAATGTCAACTCCATAAACTTGGGTGATACAGTATTATGTTTTGTCTTCTCAACTATCACTTGGAGAATGTGTCAAATTTGCTACAGGTAGCAAATACTTGTTGACAAAGTGAGAAAAGGTATACAGAAAATCCAGTTTTTTGGGGGGGAGTTTGCATAGGATAGTGATGACAGCCGGGAGGAATTGGGGCTACAGAAAGGAAACCCTGGAAGCAATCATCTAAAAAGTAAGTGCTGAAGAGATCAGAGATATATAATTGGGAAAGTTTTTTTTTTTTAATAGTTATTTGCAATGCGATATGTGAAATAAACCTTCTCCTATGTGTCCTTAAATTATCTTCTTTTAAAATCTTCAAACTTTTTTCTAAATGTTTCTGATGTGTATTTATTGTTTTGTAAATGGTTGCTGATTTCTGCTTTAAGGATGGCATATGGAGAAACCAGAGGCTGCCTATGTGAGCATAGCCATAATGGGTTGAAAGTAATTTTTACATTAATTCTTTAGCTCTTTCTTTTTTATAGTTATGGTAGTCTGTTTATCTTTGAGTTTCTCTCTTCTCTCGTAAGTATTACCCTCATCTTTATGCACAATAAATTCAATCACCTAAATTTCTATGCAGTGCTTAAGTAGTTGACAAGAAGACTTAATTTCCTCCTTCCTCTTAGCAACTTAGAAAAAAATGAATGGAAATTAAAAGCCTGAAGGGAAAGAAAACTTGAGTATCATTGATATGTAATCTTTTCTTATGTTCTTTTTCCCTGCTAGATAAGACCAGTTGGTGTACTTTGTAGGAAATCATTTGATGAGTGTGATTTCATTGAATTTTGCGATGGCCTTACCCCACACTGTGTGCCTGACACTTTTGCACGCAATGGACAGTCTTGTGATTCAGGTCAAGCCTTCTGTTATGAAGGGCGATGTCGGCTGCATACCACACAGTGTAGAGATTTAATCGGAGGAGGTAATGACCATAATTTTCTTCTTAGTTCCTAAATTCTGTTTATTCCATGCTCTGTTATTCAATTCTATAGAACAAAATTATAAGTGTAATTTGTTGATGAGTGAAGTCTTGCCTAGTGTATATTAGTGTTAAAGGAAATCAAATTTTCTTGATTCTGAAAAACAAAAAATTCTGAATTTATATGGAATTCTCATTTGCACAAGGAAGAAGCCTCAAGTGGAAATGCAACTTCTTGGAAGATTATATAGAATTTGTGATGGTGAAGTTTAGTTTAGACTTAAATGAAACAAGAGTTTTTACTAGAACAAAGCAGGGCTAATCACTGATATGTTGGATTTCAAGAGTGGGTCTGTTCCAAGAGGCTTGCTGATGAGCGAGGGCTTCAGGTTATGAACTGTCTAGTCCAGTTTGTTAGCTTCCTATTAATGTGTGGACCATTAGCTACATTGAAATACACAATTTACTGCACATATGCAGTTCATGTTCTTTGGGAGAGTGAAATTTTTCATCCTCAGCCCTCCCTTTAGGCCTTCCTTAGCCAGGTCTTAGGAGAGAACTCTTAAGTATTGTATAGATCAATATGAATGCCAGGAATTTGAGGAGGAGATGAGATACAGGTTTTGGTGATTATTATAATTTTGTTCTGCTTTTCTATCAGAATCACAGTTGCACCATCTGGCAAGACAATCCCTATATTAGAGCAGTGTTTAAAATGTAAGTGAGATATGAACAAATGACCAGTAATATTAGGAGGAAGGTAAAAGTACTCCAGATCTATGATTCAATATTTCCCCAAGTAAAACCAGGAAATAAATCTCAGTACTGGCCAGGTAAATTTAGAGCCAGGCAGTGGGATATCAGCTAGTTGTCCCCTAGGTTATTTATATTATTTATTGTTTCTTTAGTATTAGCAGTGATTTCAAAGCCCTCTGTGAGAATTGCAGGTGTATAACAGTCGTCTCCCCGAATAGTACAGATTTCTTCTTAGAGACAAGTATAACATCTAAAGCATCTTGATTTCAAAGTAATGTCTGTCCAGTCCTGGTGATTGCTTGTGTTAATGCATCTAGGACATGATAAGTCTGGGTCAATCGATCAGCTTTTGTACTTATTTTTGGAAAACAATGCCATTTTGTAAGCCTCCTGCAGAGCTTGGGGGCAAAAAGAGGCTGTTGAAAATTTGCCCTCAATCATCACTGTATTTCAACCCAAGTAAACTGTAATTCTTTGATGAGATCATCTATGGACACTAGTTAACTAGAATGGTCTTGAGTTGGGTTTGCTATAATTCTGAAGTAGGCATTAGCTTTTCAAGATAAAAACCGTATATGATTTATAGGCAAAAGCCAATAAAAATCTTATTCCATAGATCTAATACAAGTCATCACGTGTCACCAAATTATTGGTTTCTGGCTAAAATATGCCTATGGGGTTGTAATATTGAAATACATAGCTTATGCATGAAGTAATATCATTTAAAGTAGAGAAATCTATAGATCTATGGTAAAGGACGTTGATTTTAAGTAGTAAGGTTTTTTTTCCTGATTAGATCCGTAAAGACACTTGAACTGGAAACGCACTTCCTTTTTCTGAGCTCTACCAAATTTTGTTTTTGTAAACATCTAGCCCCTATAGCATGCTCGTCAGTGTAATTTCTGTACGTGCAGAAACTTCCTATTCTAGGTAAAGTATAAAATGATGGTAAAGTTTTGGTGTCGTTGAGTTTGTTGTGATGTTTGTCCTCTAGAAGGTAGAAAGTCTCATTAGTTGTAAGATCACATACATTATTAGAGAAATTTGTCACCAAATTGAGTTGTGTGGCAACTAAAGGGATGTGAGTACAAACCCAACAGTTACATTAGGGATTCTCAACCTCAGCATTATTGATATTTTAGGCCAGACAATTCTTTGTTGTGAGAGGTAGGGGTGAGGGGGATTGTTCTGTGCATTGTAGCATAGTTAGCAGCATTAATGGCTTTTGCCTACTAGACACAATGCTTGCAGACATTTTTGGTTTTCAGGACTGCGGTGGGACTCATACTGGCTTCTAGAGGGTGGAAGTCAGGGATACAGCTAAATATCCTACAATGCACGGAACAATCCATACAACAAAGAATTATCCAGTCCCAAATGTAAGGACTTACTAATGCCATCTTATTAATTGCTTTCTCACTGTTTTATGGAAGAAAATATTTGCAAATTATATATCTGATAAGAAATTGATAGGAGAATATGTAGAAAACTCCTAAAACTCAATGACAAAAAGCAAACAGCCCAATTCAAAAATGGGCAAAGGACTTGAGCAGACATTTCTCCAAAGAAGATATACAAATGGTTAATAAGCACATGAAAAGAAGCTCGACATCACTAATCATTAGGGAAATGCAAATCAAAACTACAATGAGAGGCTGACCCTGTGGCGTAGTGGTTAAGCATGGCGCACTCTGCTTTGGTGGCCTGGGTTTGCGGGTTCGGATCCCGGGTGCAGACCTACACCACTGTTAAGCCATGCTGTGGTGGTGATCCACATACAAAATAGAGGAAGATTGCCACAGATATTGGCTCAGGGCTAATATTCCTCAAGCAAAAAGAGGAAGATTGGCAACAGATGTTAGTTCAGAGTGACTCTTCCTCACCAAAACAACAACCCCACCCCCTGCCAAAAACCCTGCAATGAGATACTACCTCACACCCATTATGATGGCTACTATCAAAAAAACAGCAGGGGGGTTGGGGGCCCACCCTGTGGCCGAGTGGTTAAAGTTCCATGCACTCTGCTTCGGCAGCCCGGGTTCATGGGTTTGGATGCTGGGCGCAGACATATACCACTCATTAAGCCATGCTGTGGTGGTGACCCACATACAAATAGAGGAAGACTGGCACTGATGGTAGCTCAGGGCTAATCATCCTCAAGTGAAAAAAAAAATAGCAGAAGATTGACAATGGATGTCAGCTCAGGGCCAATCTTCCTTAAGCAAAAAGAGGAAGATTGGTGACAGATGTTAGCTCAGGGCAAATCTTCCTCAGCAAAAAAAAAAAAAAAAATCAAACCACAGAAATAAACAATTGTTGGTGAGGATGTGGAGAAATTGGAAACCTTCTGCTCTGTTGGTAGGAATGTAAAATGGTATGCCACTGTGGAAGACAGTATGAAAGTTTCTCAGTCAATTAAAAGTAGAATTACCATATGACCCAGCAACTCCACTTCTGAGTATAAGAATTAAAAGCAGTGTCTGGAAGAGATGTTTGTATACCCATATTCACAGCAGCGTTATTCACAATAGCTAAAACTTGGAAGCAATCCAAGTGTCCATCAATGAATGAATGGATAAAGCAAAATGTGTTATATACAAACAGTGGAATATTATTCAGCCTCAAAGAGGATGGAAATTTTGCCATATGCTAAACATGGATGAACCTTGAGGACATTATGCTAAGTGAAATTAACCAGTTATAAAAAGACAAATACTGTATCATTCCACTGATATGAGGTACTTAGCATAGTCAAAATCATAGATCCAGAAAGTAGAATGGTGGTTAGCAGTGGCTTGGGGGAGGGATAAATAGAGTTATTTTTTAATAGATATAGAGTTTCAGTTTTACAAGATGAAAAGAGTTATGGGGGTGGATGGTAGTGATAGCTGCACAACAATGTGAACGTATTTAATACCACTGAACTATACACTTAAAAGTGGTTAAGATGGTAAACATTATGTTATGTGTATTTTAACACAATAAAAAAATCTGTGGAAAAACAAACAAAATTCAATTCATTTGATATGTGGAAACTCTCTCTCTTTATGATTCTTTACAGTAATCCAGCTAAAATTTTTTAAAAGTTTTATTGCATTATTTCTTTACTCTGACACCCACTAGCAATTAGTATTTTACTCTTTTAACATCATATTTTTTGTATTTACATCTAAATATTTAATTTCTTGAAGCTTGGGAACTATTTTTCCCCATCTTCTGTTCTTTTGAGAGTATCTAAAATAGACTTGATACATAATAAATATATGTGTATTTTTTCTTTAAAGGAGGGATGCTTTATGCCACCACGATTCTGACATCACTCACTTTAGCATTTCATGTAAGGCAGATCTAGTAGTCATTAACTCATTCAGCTTTTATTTATCTTGAAAGATTTCATATCTCCTTAATTTTTGAAGAACAGTTTTGCTTGGCGTAGTATTCTTCATCGGCAGTTTTTTATTTCAGCACTTTGAATATATCACCCCACCACCTTCTGGCCTGTATAGTTTCTGCTGGAAAATCCACTCATAGTTTTATGGGGATTCCTGTGTATATGACAACTCACTTTTTTTTTTTATACTTTCAAAATTCTCTGTCTTTGAATTTTTACAATTTGATTATAATGTGTCTTGGTATGGATTTCTGTGGGTTCAACTTATTGGAGGTTCTTTGGTCTTCCTGGATCTGGACATTGATTTCTTTCCTCTGATTTGGGAAGTTTTTAGCCATTATTTCTTAAATATGCTTTCTGATCCTTTCCTTCCTATTCTTCTTTTGGAACTCCTGTAATGCATATATTAGTCTGTTTGATGATGTCCTAATAGTGCCTTAAGCTTTCTTCACTCTTTTTCATTCTTTTACCTTGTTTACTCTTCTTATTAAGTAATTTCCAATGATTTGTCTTTTACTTTGCTGATCCTTTATTCTTCTTGATCTAGTCTACTATTGAACTCCTCTAGAGCATTTTTCAGTTCAGTTAGCATATTGTCAGCTCCAAGATTTCTGTTGGTACTTGGGACTGTGGACAAATGGATCAACTCTTTCCCTCCCAAGGTGGAAGTTGACAGCTGGGATTATTCATCCACTCACTCTGTGGTGAGCAGTATGGAGTACTATTGATGTCTACTAGCCCAAGCTACCATCTCTCTTGTCCCTTGAACAACTAGACTATTAAGACCCATCAGAGCTCCCAGAACTAGCAAGAGAGACTCCAGTTCTTTGGGCAGCCCCCTTGGAAATATATGGGT